GGAGGAAAGATTCTTACTCCACTTCCCCATGGATATAAAATGAAAAGTAATAAGACCAAGAACTATTAAGATAAAATCAAAGAAAACTCAGATGAGTGTGTATAAATAAATGTGTACATGTATGTGTAGTGTGACCTAAGTGTAAGTAGAAGTAGCAAGACATACCTGTAATCTTGCATATTTATGAGACAGACAAAAGACATCAGCAATCCTACCATCATGTAAAACAATCACAGGCTTTCGTTTTACACTCACTTGGCAGGACGGTAGTACCTCCCTGGGTGGTTGCTGTCTACCAACCTACTACCTATAATAGAAGTATTTTTTTTTTTCAATTTCCTTTATGGCTTTTAGTTCTTCCTGCAATTCTTGTCTCCTGTAAGATTCCTTCAGTTTCAGTTCGATGTTTGCAATTTCATTAACCAGTGCCTCCCTTCGTATTTCAGATATGTTGGCCCCTCTCAGCAGCTCTGTGACCTTCGTCTGTATAGGGAGCGTCTTTCTCTTTTAGTTTACATCTTCTCTTTCTTTTTCTTAATGGAATGTGTCTAGAGTAGATCTCAAGAACCACAGAGTTTATTTTTTCCAGGCAGAGGTTCAGATCTGTGGTGTTTAGGATATCTTCCCTGCTTGTTTCATTTAAGACAGGTTGACTTTTTCCCATTTTTTTTTTTGTTATCAAAATTTGAATTTTGTGAAGACACCCTCAGATGTTTCACTTTTTGCTGGTCAGAAGCCCTGTGCAACTGTCTGACCTTATGCATTCTCTCTCCATTCCTAGGTACTTTACCGTAACCTTCCAAAAATATATGTAGGTTGGTGACAGCAACCCCCCAGGGAGGTACTCCCGTCCTGCCAAGTGAGTGTAAAAAAAAGCCTGTGTTTTGTTTTACTTATGGTAGGATTGCTGATTTTTTGTCGTCTCATAAATATGCAAGATTACAGGCATGTCTTGCTATTCACTTACATTGGGTCCATCACATACTTTACACATTTTTTTATCACACCATCTGATTTTTTTCTTTGATTTTATCTAATGTTTGGGGTCTTTTTTAATTTTCCTTTTATATCCATGGGGAAGTGGAATAAAACTTTCCTCCGTAAGCCATGCGTGTTTAAAAGCAACAAAATGCCGGGAAAAAATGGGCTAGAACCCCCTTTTCCCTTTTAAAGATTACTAAAAAGAAAAAGAAGAAAAAAAATTGTCAAAGTGGGAAGTTGAATGTCGGGGATGTTGTGCAGTGATAAGAAAGAATGATTGTGGATTTATGAATGAAAAGAAGCGGGAGTCCGGTTTTTAAGGGAAAACAAAGCTGAAGGGGGTGGGAGAGTTTCAGTGGAGAGGAATAAAGGGGATTGGGTCGGGGGTTTCAAATAGAGTTGAGCTAAAGAAGGGGGTAGAAAATAATGTTGGGATAACTATGGGGGAAAAGAGGGACTAAAATGTTTTAATTTAAAGGGATTATGTGGGTAAAAAAAAGATTGGATGTAAAAAGTGGGTTATAATAGCGGTATGCACCTGGGAAGAGAGAAGTGAGGGAAGGGGAGAGATTTTGGGAAATGTTAAAGTGAATGCGTGGGGGTTTTGAATCAAGTGTAAAGGTAATGGTGGTGGGGTTTTAATGAAAAGGGGGTAAAATGTTAGGAGGGAGTAGTAGGGAAAATTTGGGGGGTGCCAGGGTAAATTTTAAAATGGGGAGCCTTTAATTGGCTATTTTTGTAAAAAGAAATTTGGTAAAAGTAATAAATATTTTTGAAAAAGGGGATAAAAAATATAAAAGGAGTGTAGCACGAATGAAAGAGTTTTTAGATTAGTATTGGGGAAAAAAGGGTTTGATGGGTAGGCTCCAGGATGTACTGTTATAGAGGGGCAACTGAAATAGGATCTTATTTTAGTTGTAAACGTTAAGTAAGAGGAGAGGGGAAAAGAGGAAGGTGGCAACAAAAGTAAGAGGAAGGAAAGTGTATAAAAAAAGGGAGGAGGAAGTTGGGGTGAGATAAACGACTTTTGGGCAGAAGGGGGGTGTGCAAAGATATAGGGGGGGGGTTGAAGAGGGTTGGAATATTTTTAAAAAATGCAGTTTTAAAGAAGGGGGGCAGAAGTTTTGGTTATAGGAGGGTGGGGCAGGGGAAAGAGGAGTGTTTGGGGGAATTGAAGTAAAGGGTTGAAAAAAGAGAAAAAGGTAGTTATGAGGGGTTTTTACAAAGCAAAGTGTTATAAGAAGGCAAGTATATGGGAGTAAAAGAAAGGTAAAGAGGTGGTGAGGGGAGTAAAAAGGAGAGCAGATATAGGTGGGAGGGCATTCAAGAAATTTTAATGAAAATAAGAAAAAATTTTGGGAGTGAGTTAAAACAATTTAAAAAAGCCTGGGGGAAAATATGGATTTTCAGTTAAAAACAGGTGGGGGGAGTTAGAGATGGGGGAGGGGAGGTATTGGGTAGAGGCGAGAATATTTTGAGGAATTTTTAAATTTTAAAGGAAAAAACGGGGCAGTAATTTCATGCACTGGTCGGGGGGGTATACCATCTTTTAGGGGAAGAAGAGCAAAATGAAAGTGGGGGGGAGGTAGTGGGCATTACGTAAAATGAAAGGGGGTAAAGCAGCGGAATGATGGGATCATACAGAAATGTTAAAAGCAGGGGGGGATATAGTGTTTGGATGGTTGGTACTTTTGTTTAATAAATTATGAAGGGGGAAGGGGACCTGGATTGGCAGAGGGGCAGTTAGTCCCTTTTTATAAAAAGGGGAAAGGGGGGAAAAGAGACTGTAAAAATTAAGAGGAATAAGCTTTATGATATCCCCGGAAAAGGTACGGTAGGGGGTTTAATTGAAAGAATTTGAGGTAAAACAAATGTAGGATTGGGATGAGCAAGGAGGGTTTTTGAGTGGGTAGGGGGTGTGTAAAGGTTTTACATTGAAACATATATTGAACATATTTAATAAAGATAGGGAAAATTTTTATTGCATTTATGGATTTAGAAAAGGCATATGATAGAGTGGATAGAGGAGCAATGTGGCAGATGTTGCAAGAAAGGAATAGGGGTAAGTTATTAAAAGCTGTAAAATTTTTAGAGGATAGGAGGTCAGGTTAGGGTGTGTAGAAGAAGGGAGAACTTCCGGTAAAAAGGCTTAACAGGGATGTGTAATGCACCATGGTTGTTTTTAAAATTATTTTTAGATGGGGTGTAAAGGAAATAAATGCTAGGGGGTTGGGAGGGGGTGGGATTAAAATTATGGGGAATCAAATTCAAATGGAATTGCACAGTTACTTTTTGTGATGATACTGTGTTTGGGAGATTCAAAGAAAAAATTTCAAAATTTTGTGGGGAGTTTTGGGGTGTGTGTAAAGGTAGAAAGTTTGAAAAATGAACATAGAAAAAGTAAGGTGATGGGGGGGTAAAAAGATTTGATAAAGAAAAAAATTTGGGTATCAATTGGGGGGGGAGGAGTATGGAAGAATGAATGTTTTCAGATATTTGGGGTTGAGTTTCGGGGTGGATTTATGAAGGGAGGTTAATCATAGAATTGATGAGGAAAAAGGGGTGGGGCGTTGAGGTATTGTGGAGTCAAAAACGTTATCTAGGAGGCAAAGAAGGGAATGTATGAAAATATAGTAGTTTCAAATCCCTTTTATGGGGGTTTAAGTTTGGGGGGGTAAATGCAGCAGCGAGGAGCGGTTGAGGCAGCGGAGAGTCCTGTTTAAGGGCAATGTGTGGGTAAAAATTATGCAAAAAATTTTGGGGTTTTGGAAAATTTGGAAAGGGGGTGGGTTAATAAAAGTATTAGTCAGAGGGCAAAGAGGGTTTTTGAAAGGGGGTTTTGGGCATTTAGAGAAAGGATCACGTAGAATGAATGGAAAGCATATAAATCTATAGGGGAAGGAAGGGGGGGTAGGGTCGTCCTCGAAAAGGGGTTTGGGGAAAAGGGGGGTAAAGGAGGTTTTTGGGTAAGGGCTTGGACTTCCAGCAAGCGTGGTGAGGTGTTAGATAGGAGGAATGGAGCGAATGGTACTTGGGACCTGACATCTGTTGGAGTGTGGCAGGGTAATATTTTGTGAAGGGATTCGGGAAACCGGTTATTTTTAATGTCACTTGAGTCCTGGAAAGGGAATCAATGCCTGCCTTTAAAAGGGGGGGTTTGGGTATTGGCAGTTTGGAGGGATATGTTGTGTTCTTTATTGTTTTTGCTTTAGATGTTGTATTCTGAGCACCCCTGCAAAAACAGGATAAGTGGAGTTGTGTGAAAGGTTTAAAGATGATAAAGTATTTTCTTTTTGGGGATTTTCTTTCTTTTTTGGGTCACCCTGCCTCGGTGGGAGACGGCCGACTTGTTGAAAAAAAAAAAAAAAAAAAAAAAAAAAAAAAAATTAACCACTCCAAAACTATATCCCCACCTGCTTTTAACATTTCGTTCTATATCCCATCACTCCCAGCTGCTTTACTCCCTTTCATTTTACCCACTGCCCCATGCATACTGTACAGTATACGGTTATGGTAATTGACATGTATAAACTACTATAAAGAAAGTCCCTTGCTAATTAAAGCATTTTGGTCTATCTTAAAACTAACTTAATTACTAGACAATGAGACATACATAGTACATGAGAATATGAATACCTAGTTTATATTATATTAAAGGTTTTGAGTAATTTAATGAAAAATTCTAATTAAACATACTTTAAAGATGAAGCTAGCTACCTGAAAAAGGCCTTTCTAGTAATAAATGAGAGATGAAGGAAGGATGGAACAAGAACAGGAACAATATTGGCCTTGAATGGCTGCTGTCTACCAGCCTACTACCATACCTATTCTACTAGTTTATGTATTGACACCTTTATTTTAATAAAGTAAATTTTATTTCTATCAAGAATTTTATTACAGTTGGTACAGAAAATGTGAGATTATTGACATACTTTATAGACATCCCTTTGTTATGCAGAGCATTTCAGGCAGTTATTCATCTCAGTCATTATAACTAAATATTGCTACCAATATTTCAGGTAGTGGAGGATCTGCCAACAGTTCACTTCCAGTTACTCCTGAAAGGTCGCCAACATTCCAGCATGATAATTCCCAGGTGACAACACTTACAGAACTTGGTAAAAAGTTGGTGGCAGCTGCTAAAGTTGGTAATACAAACCAAGTTCGAAGATTAATGGCCATTGGAGCACCATTTGCATCAGATGGGGTAAGTCATACTATTTATTTATCTAAATATTAAATACTGTTAGATTTTTATGATGGTAAATACATGAAAATACAGATACAGTATAAACCCTGAAATATGAGTCCTTTGATATGGAGAGACAGATCAGTGAGAAGTGGAGAGGAAATAACACTGCATCAAACAGAGTTGAAGGCACCAAATTACTCTTAGTTGACAAACTTTATATAGGTATAGTCACGAGAAGATAATCTCAAGATGTACAGTGGAACCTCAAATATCGAACTTAATCCGTTCCAGGAGCTAGTTCTAAATTCGAAAAGTCTGAAAATCGAAGCAGTATTTCCCATAAGAAATAATGGAAATACAATTAAACCGTTCCAGAAATCCAAAAATATTCACAAAAAAATACATTTTATAGAGATTAACCCTTTGAGGGTTTTCGTCGTACTAGTACGTTTTACGCGTAGGGGTTTTTGACGTACTAGTACGCATAAATTCTAGCGGCCTCAAATCTAGTGGGAGAAAGCTGGTAGGCCTTCATATGAAAGAATGGGTCTATGTGGTCAGTGTGCATAGTCTAAAAAAAATCCTGCAGCACACAGTGCATAATGAGAAAAAAAAAACTTTGACCATTTTTTTGGAATAAATCAGCGACTTTGCAGTGTATTTTCGTATGGTATTTATTGTTGTATTCTAGTTTTCTTGGTCTCATTTTATAGAATGGAAGACATATTACAGAAATTGAGATGATTTTGGCTGGTTTTTACAAAGAAAGGTGTTTGAATTTGAGCTCAAAGTAGCAGAAATGTTCGATTTTTACCAAACTTCAAAAGTAAACAAATCGTGCCAAGTGTGCAATACACGTCAAAATGGTGAGTCTAAAATTCGTTTCACAAGTGCACCAATAATTATTTATACCAATTTTTTACATAATGCAGTAGTCTGCATAACAGTAAATCTTATATTTTTTGTGAGAATAAAAATTCAAAATGGAAAGCAAAAGAATATAAGAGGGGCCTTGAGACGTGACAAATGACTAGAGGAAATGTCATTTTAGTGCCAGGAATGTCTTTCTTGTTTATTCTGGACCCTATTCGGAAATTGGCCATCTTTTGAAATTTGTGTGAAAATTGGCAAAATTGCAAAAATTCTGACCACTGTATGGATAGTTGAATTTCATAAAGGGGTGGTTTCTTGCACCCATTCGATAGAAAAAATGGAGTTCTAGCGAAATATTCATGTTTTTTGTCGACTAGTACAGCGAAATTGGCCGAAAATGGGGCTCAAAGTGGGCAAAATCGCCGATGCGTAAACATCGCCGAGACCGCTAACTTTGCGAGAGCATAATTTCGTAAGTTTTCTATCAAATTTCAAACTTTTGGTGTCTTTATGATCAGGAAAAGATTCTCTATCTTTTCATAAGAGAAAATAATTTTTTTTTTTTTTTAAATTTGGCCGACCCTGAGAACGAGTTTCGGAGAGGGCCTGTCGACCCTCAAAGGGTTAAGGGAGGGGTGAGCATAATCACCAACTCTTTTTTTTTTTGTCAGATTTCAATGGGATTTTGACAGTGGATTAAGCAGCTTAAAAAACATATAGGCCATGTTTGTTTTGATAGAAAAAAATGATTTTTGCACAATTTTATGGGTCCTAGAGCTTTCCAATTTTTACTAAATTGGGAAGATGTACAATGCTCTAGTTAACATCAGATGAAAGATAAAGGCTAGGTTAATAATGACCCACTGCATTTTAGCGATAATGTCAGTAGATTCCATAAAAAAAAATGTTGAAATTAGTTTTTTTTTTTTTTTTTTTTTTTTTTTTTTTTTAGAGGAAAAAATCATTAACAAAAAGCTGTTCACAATATGGCAAATCTTCTCTGGGTGTTTGTAGAACCATAATTCCTCAATAACGTCTGAAAAAATCATGACAATCCAGTGAATATTTATCGAAAAAAATGGATTGGAATGTCTAATTTATTACTAGAGTTTTTTAAAATTTTGTGTGTGTGAAACTCTAGGGAAGTGGCACGCCACCTTTCAGCGTCCTGCATCCCTCCTGCCTTCTCTACAGCCTGCCGGCTACTGACTGACTTACTGTCTGCTCTTCACACACTAGCCAGCACACAAGTTGCCATGTACAATATTTACAATGAAATAATCATAAAAAAAACTCCTAATTACCAACATGTATTTTTGCTGACAGCAGAACAAAAAAAATACAATTAATGAAAAACGTGCTTAGAAATATGATAGAAACAAGCTGATTACATAAAAATGTTGCCAGAATTTTGCACTATTTTTCAGTAAGAAAACATTTTTTTTTTTCCATAATTTTTCAATTTTAATGTCTTGATAACGGAAAAAAGGCTCGCCTCTCCCTTAATTACAGTTTTACATACACACGACAAATACTATAGTGTTCAGTTATGTATATAAATATAAAATGACATTTTTACTTACATTTATTGAAGATTGGTGATGGCATCTGGAAGATAGGGAGGAGGAGAGAGGGAGTTGGGGTTAGAGTTTGGAAGGAGAATCCCCCTCCATGAGGACTTCAGGTAAAGCCCTCTCTGGGGTTACTTCCCTTCTCTGTCTTTTAATGCCACTAGGACCAGCCTGAGAGTCACTTGACCCCTGTCTCACAAAATAACTGTCCACAGTCCTGTGTTTCTGGCACCTCTTTAACATTTCCCTAAAATGGGACATGGTTCTGTCACTGAACTGGTTCCAGGAGTTTTCTGTACCAGATTGGCATGCAACTTCCATGCCTTTTTGCAAATAATCATCTCTGAAACACTGTCACCTGCCATCTCTTTTTACTTGATCCACACCAGCAACAACTTTTCAACCTCTTCAACAATTTGTGGTCTTTTTTTGGTTAGTAGTAGGTAAATTTGGGGTGCCAGGGGTAACTGTAAATGGGGAGCCTTTAATTGAGCTATGTGTAGAAAGAGATTTGGTAATAAGTAATACATATTTTATGAAAAAGAGGATAAATAAATATATAAGGTATGATGTAGCACGTAATTAAAGTAGTTTATTAGATTATGTATTGGTGGATAAAAGGTTGATGGGTAGGCTCCAGGATGTACATGTTTATAGAGGGGCAACTGATATATCGGATCATTATTTAGTTGTAGCTACAGTTAGAGTAAGAGGTAGATGGGAAAAGAGGAAGGTGGCAACAACAAGTAAGAGGGAGGTGAAAGTGTATAAACTAAGGGAGGAGGAAGTTCGGGTGAGATATAAGCGACTATTGGCAGAAAGGTGGGCTAGTGCAAAGATGAGTAGTGGGGGGGTGTTGAAGAGGGTTGGAATAGTTTTAAAAATGCAGTATTAGAATGTGGATCAGAAGTTTGTGGTTATAGGAGGGTGGGGGCAGGAGGAAAGAGGAGTGATTGGTGGAATGATGAAGTAAAGGGTGTGATAAAAAGAGAAAAAGGTAGCTTATGAGAGGTTTTTACAAAGCAGAAGTGTTATAAGAAGAGCAGAGTATATGGAGAGTAAAAGAAAGGTAAAGAGAGTGGTGAGAGAGTGCAAAAGGAGAGCAGATGATAGAGTGGGAGAGGCACTTCAAGAAATTTTAATGAAAATAAGAAAAATTTTGGAGTGAGTTAAACAAGTTAAGAAAGCCTAGGGAAAGTATGGATTTGTCAGTTAAAAACAGAGTAGGGGAGTTAGTAGATGGGGAGATGGAGGTATTAGGTAGATGGCGAGAATATTTTGAGGAACTTTTAAATGTTAAGGAAGAAAGAGAGGCAGTAATTTCATGCACTGGTCAGGGAGGTATACCATCTTTTAGGAGTGAAGAAGAGCAGAATGTAAGTGTGGGGGAGGTATGCGAGGCATTACATAGAATGAAAGGGGGTAAAGCAGCTGGAACTGATGGGATAATGACAGAAATGTTAAAAGCAGGGGGGGATATAGTGTTGGAGTGGTTGGTACTTTTGTTTCATAAATGTATGAAAGAGGGGAAGGTACCTAGGGATTGGCAGAGAGCATGTATAGTCCCTTTATATAAAGGGAAAGGGGACAAAAGAGACTGTAAAAATTATAGAGGAATAAGTTTACTGAGTATACCAGGAAAAGTGTACGGTAGGGTTATAATTGAAAGAATTAGAGGTAAGACAGAATGTAGGATTGCAGATGAGCAAGGAAGTTTCAGAGTGGGTAGGGGATGTGTAGATCAAGTGTTTACATTGAAGCATATACAGTGGACCCCCGCATAGCGACCTTAATCCGTGCAAGAGGGCTGGCTGTTATGCGAAATGTTCGGTATGTGAATGAATTTTCCCCATAAGAAATAATGGAAATAAAATTAATCCGTGCAAGACACCCAAAAGTATGAAAAAAAAAATTTTTTACCACATGAAATGTTAATTTTAGTACACACAAACTGAAAAAGGCATGCACAATTACATGACACTTACTTTTATTGAAGATCTGGTGATGATTGATGGGATGGGAGGAGGGGAGAGAGAGTGTTAGTGTTTAGAAGGGGAATCCCCTTCCATTAAGACTTGAGGTGTCGAGTCCTTTTCTGGGGTTACTTCCCTTCTTCTTTTAATGCCACTAGGACCAGCTTCAGAGTCACTGGACTTCTTTCGCACAACATATCTGTCCATAGTGGCCTGTACCTCTCGTTCCTTTATGATTTGTCTAAAGTGGTTACAACATTGTCATTGTAACAGTCACCAGCACGGCTTGCAATAGCTGTGTGAGGGTGATTTTCCCATCAAAAAAAGGTTTGCACTTCAAGCCATTTTGCACACATTTCCCTTTAAATCTTTGAAGTAGGCAATTCCTTCAATTTCTCTCTCCCCTCCTTTGAACCAGTTTCCCCAGGTCTGGCCTCTTGCTCTTGAAGTTGATCTATCAGCTCATCAGTGGTTAGTTCTTCATTGTCCTCCTCCACCAACTCTTCCACATCCTCCCCACTAACCTCCAACCCCAAGGACTTCCCCAATGCCACAATTGATTCCTCAACTGGTATTACTCCTCTCAGGGTTAGCCTCA